CTGTTATGATTGCATTACTTTTCAGACAGAAAATATTTTTCAACGACAATAGTTAGCTAATATGCTAATGCTAAGCTAATGCTAGCTAGCTATCTAGCTAGCCAAACCTAGACTGGTGAGTTTAACTTACCTCTCCGAAGGTCTCGGTGAAAGTGATGGCGGAAAGTTCTGCTCGCGTATTTATATGCCAGCAGCGTTCTGGAATGTGTTGCTATGCACATAATTTTATTTTTTGTTTTATTTTATTTCACTGTTGTATTTTCGTTTTATCTGGTTTTCATAAAAACTCGTGTGTTCAGTCTTGTTTGTAAATATGTTCTGTATGTATTGATCTGTACATTAAAAAATTTAACATAATAAGCGGCCGGTTGCTATGCACACAACGGATTTTTTATTTTATTTTATTATTGATATTTCTTTCGTCGTTTTTCACCTGATATGAACAGTTTGTGCACTGGTCTAAATAAATAAATAATAATAATGACTATAGATAGTGAGTATAATATAGCCTTTATAGAAATATAAAGGTTTTGTTGTTTACCAACTGACGACCGGACTACTCCAAATAGTTTTATATTTCATATTTTAAGACTCATTCAGACATTTCTATGTGTACAATATGTGCGCTTGTTGAAATTGCATTATTTATTTATTTTTAACTCAGGTTTAAGCCTAAAACAGAGAACCCTCACCCCTGCAGCAGGTAACAGTCTTCTAATGTTAGACTGCAACCAGATGTATGAGTTACTTCAGCCTCTTTTACATCAACGTTTTTTCTCATGTTCTCTTGACCAAAAATATTGGTGAGGTTAAGAGGTATTGTAGTCTATATCTTACTTATAAATAACCAAATACATTCTCTATGACGGGTTACATGATAATCATATCCATGGCAATGCAGATTAAACTTTCCTAAAAATTGTGAGATTAAAAAAAAATACAAAATATTTTCTACGAACTCCAAAAATTCAGTCGTGATCTTTAAAACTTAAAAATGTCACAACAGAAAGTAAATAAGAAGAGTAGGTCAACAGAACGTTTGTTGCTGACACTGATGAAATTATAGTAATTATGCACTATTTGCATAAAATACTATTTTTCTAACCACTTTTTAAAAACTGTCTAAAAAAGTTACTTGGAGAATTTATATATATAAGCAATATAATATAAGTGTAGTTAGATCCTATCACAGAATGTCTGACAGGTATGTGCAAGTGTGGGATCACACTGCTGATGAAACAGATGAGACTTGAGGCAACTTGATTTTATGCAACATATCAGTTAAATTCACTTTTTTCAATGTCATTAATTACAGTTGTGTATTTTTGTCAGTTATTTGCTGTCTGCATTATTTTGCTGACATGCCAGTCAGTTTCTTAAAATTTCTTAAAGTTTCTTAAAGTTTCCTAAATTCATGCGAAAATATTTATTCTTTTTCACAGTGTGGTTCATTACACTCCAGACCAGAATGTTATAAACAGCTGACATAAAGGCAGGTATGTCCAATAAAAAAACTTTAATGTCTTTCCTTGGATTCTTGGAACTTTTTTTTTTTTTTATTTTGTCTGTGTTCGTTTAGACTGTGAGTGTAAATACATCATTTTGAAGTTTAAACTCATAAACTGCAACGTTGTGTTTTCCATTTGCCTTGGAAATTAGCTTCCCAACAGCTGTTTGGATTGATGTGATCCTCAATGGTTAAAAGCAGGGCTCGTCCGGGATTTGAACCCGGGACCTCTCGCACCCTAAGCGAGAATCATACCCCTAGACCAACGAGCCGGCGGGCACATATAAGTTTCGTCTGTATCAGCCTCATATGAAGGTGCCAGTACTTTTCGGGTGTGTACCTGTGTTTATGACATGCAGTAGAGTGGTCCTGAGTCAGTCTGTAGTGTTAATTCCTTTCCCACCCGCACTCTCTGAAGACCCGCCCTCCTCTGCCTCTGATTGGCTCGGACCCTGATACTCTTCTTCACAGAATGTAGGTCGGGGAAAAATAAGTCATGTGAACGTCCTGTACTCCTCGTCGAGCACCATCACAACCGTAAAACATACCGTTAACTTAAAGTGAAGAGAACTATTCATTGTTTTTACTGCAGTGTCTGTTACACCTGTCCCTCGCCCTGAAAGGCTCAGACCCGAGCGGCGGCGGAGGTAACCGCTCCACCACCCCCGGCGACATTTTGTGGTAGGTGTCTGACAAGCACCACTGAAAGCACATCATGCTCAGATTAAAAGAAACTTCCGGTTAAGTGTTTTACCATCTTTCAAACTATTAAATCTTTCAAATTAGCGCTGAAACTAACTATTACTTTCATTATGGCGGACACGCAAAACAAATAAAGTTATTTTTTTCATTAACCTTTATTGAACATGTTCATGTACAATGCTGAAGACGAAATAAATCAAATAAAACAACACAATTGTATTTAGACATGAATACAATCCACTCATTTGTTCTTATCAGTGCAGGATCTAATAGAGTAAACAACGGGACTTTAGCTGGTGAATTTACATTCGTGAATATGAAATGTAACAGTTTCACAATCTGCTAAATTGTTGTGATAATCCTAAAATGAGTGACATGGTTGTTTTTCAAGCTGTCTGAACCAAACTGTGGGCTATTCAACAAAACCAACAACTCAGTTAAAATAAACTGATCTGCTGAAACAACTCACAGTCTTTTAGTAAAGAGATGAAAAAGAAAAAGAAAAACAGTTTCAGGTTCACAGTGCAGAGATAATACAATACATCGTTGAGTGTAATAGAGGACACAATGTGTGCAAGTATGTTGGAAATGTTTTTTAAGGATTGTAAAAAAATAAAATAAAAAAAAGAAGAAGAAATAAACAGAGTCAGCCTGAATGTCAGAGAGATGACTCAGTGACACATGACTAAGCAGTGACACCCATAAGGAACCATTGCTCCAAATCCAGTAAGCCTGAGGGGAAAATGCCAAATAGAGCTTGTTGATGTTCCTGATTGGTCCACTAGGGTTCAGGGTTGTACCTCTATGAAATCGGCCTGTGAGAGCTTTTTGAGCCCATTTCGTAAAGATACCTGCACACTCACAGACTGAACAGCCCTGACAGACTAAAGCCAAATAGTCATAATAGACATATGACAACATGTCATTCTCAATACCCTTCTGATTCACAAGTGACATAACTGTATTTATAGAGGGTCACCTCCAGCATGCTGATATTCATAAGCCATTGTTGATCCTGCCACAGTGGATGATGACATTTAAGCATTTAACAGTACATGAAGAAATCTGTTGCTAAGACATTACTCTTTTCTTTTTATTCTGTGAGTTGCCACAATAAAATACAGAGAAAATAACATTTAATTTCTGTTTCTGTTTAGTTCTCTCTCTCTCTCTCTCTCTCTCTCTCCCCCTCTCCCAATCAAATTGGGAAACTGTTTTTAAAAAAAATCAGTTTCCATCGGGCATCCAGCCCTAAGTGTGCCTGACAGACCGTCACTGACTGACGTTGAAGCATTCTGACTGATTCGCATGTCAGCCGGGGAAAACCAAAATCATAAAAACATAAAACACATTGAGAAAGCTGGAAAGACAATCACTTAATCATGGACCCGGAGTAGGTTACTTGTATTAGATTTAAGATGCACACTGTAAGATATTGCTATTAGATTGCTGTTATCAAAAGTAATTCTGCAGTTTTGTGATTATATTGTTATTATTTCGTTTTTTAATTTTAGATACAAATAAAACAGAAAGCGAAAGGCACAGATTTTGTGTCTAGCTCAGTGGACTCCAAACTCAAGTACTATTTTTTTTATCTACCTGCTGTAACTTGAACCATGCCAATTTATTGAAGAAAACCTGAATCCATATTTTTAGTGAAACTCCCTTTATGATGCCTACACGTGAACGACATCACAAATAGATTAAGATGTCTGTTTTTGATAGACAACATACAGAATACAAGGCACTGATCTGTGACAAGATGCTCGTGATCGGTTAAAATCCCCCAGATGCTACCTGTAAGAGCCAAATGTAAAAGAGAAACATTATGAAACATGTCTGTCTTGTTTGTAATTTAGCGGAATTCCCCTCAACAGTCCTGATTTAGTTTCGATTTTCATTACCATCTCTCGCCGCGACAGGTCACTCCTCTGGCAGCAATGTAAACAAGGATACTTATAGAGTGTTCTGAGGAAACCTGCAGCTGCCCAAGAGAGTCGATCTTTAAATTCTCAGTGAAATAAATTCTAACAGATAAAAACATCAAGTGTGTTTTGTTAGAAAGCAGCATCTCAACCATTGTTCCAGTGTATATCATTGTCATACTAATTCAGTGAGCTCTGTATTATGGATAGTAAAAGTTTAGCCAGACTATATACATAATACACACGTATACAAAATAAATATAGATATATTTATATAATATATGTGATAACATATCTGAATACTTGACCCAATGTGGGTGTCAATAACACCACAGCTCGGCTTTACATATATGTAAACACACAAGGAGTGCCAGGGGCAAACTATTGTTTATGACGACTAAAAAGCAAAATGAAATATACAACAACACGAGAAACACCTGAAGAGATTAGGGCAAATGGACATGGAGGGAAAGAACTAAAGTAAAGAATGTGAGAGAATAAAAAAAGTAACAAAAGAACAGACAGTGGGAAGAAGAAACCAATAGAGAAAGCAGGGGGACTGAGAATCTCCGATATTCCTCTAAACTGTTGGATTTAACTGTATCCCTCCTGTTGTGGGGTGATGATGTCATATTAACTTATTCTTGGCATTATTACACAAAGAAAACAATCATTTTTCTGCAGTCTCAGGTAGGCGTTGAATGTGGGTTGTCAGGGAGTTTCCACAAAGCTTCCTGGGTCCATGAGGAACCAAACCTCTTTGGCCACATTCTACCTAGTAACAGTGTGATGGAAATTTCTGTTTGGCTGGTGCCGTGATGTGGGCTGGCTTAGAGCGCTTGACAAAGCTCTGCTCTCCACACTTTCACTTTATTTTCGGTGCCTGAAGGAGGTGGCAACGCACGTCTTTTTCAGCTCCTGTGAAACAAAGGATAGATCAAACATGAATATCGCACTCTGTGTTGCTGTGATGGTTGCTGTCTGTCTTTCAGTGGACGCCAAAGTCAGTAAGTACTGTTTTTTTAATCTAGCAGCTGTAACTTAAAAACTTGGCATTTTACTGAAGAGTAGCAGAGACCATATCTTTATTAAAACTTCCTTTAATGATGGCAACACATAAACCACGGCACAGATAGATTAAGATGTATGGTTTTGATAGACAATATACAGTCTGTTTACAATGTACAATCTGTTTAAAAAAAAAAAACAAAAAAAAACAGGCTCGTGTAAGAGTAGATGTGAGAGTAGAGATCGGCTTTGTGAGAGTCATATGCAAAAGAGAAACAGAATAAAACATGTCCGTCTTGTTTTTTTCTATCGGTTGAATTCCCCTAAACAGTCTGATTTAGTTTCGATTTCCAGTAATACCAACTCTGCTGTGACAGCACCCTCCTCTGGCATCAGTGTGGTAAACATGGATGCTTGATGGTGTTTTTAGGAGACCTGCATCTGCCTGAACTCCAGAGAGTCAATCTCTAAATTCTCAGTGAAATAAATCCATGCAAGATAAAAAAAAAAAAACACAACATGTGTTTTGTTAGAAAGGAACATCTCAACCATTGCTCCATTATTCAGTCACTTAAGGGTAAATTAAGCGGAACGTCACCTCGGTTGCGATTGGGTTTCATTTTTATTTTTTCATTTTATTTTGCGAGTTCACTTAGTTTATGTTCAGACAAGTGTGTAAAAAGCAGCCGTTCCACAACAAGCCTCCAGAACAGCTTCAGTTGTTGATAGGCTTTAATTGAGGTGACGTTGAAGTTTTTTCCTTCCAGGAAGTTGCATCTGGTAAAATAGCACTCTGTGTGGTTCATGGTCATTTGACATAATTTCCCTTTCTCCATGCTGCCTTCAGGTCCACCCAAAGTTCAGGTGTACAGCCGTAACCCCGGAGAGTATGGGACGGCGAACACCCTGATCTGCCACGTGAGTAACTTCCACCCCCCTGACATCTCCATCGAGCTCATGAAGGATGGAATGGAGCTCCCCAACGCCAAGCAGACAGACCTGGCCTTCAAGCAGGACTGGCACTTCCATCTGACCAAGAACGTGGATTTCACACCCAATGACGGACAGAAGTACAGCTGCAGGGTCACTCATGGCGGGAAAGTGAATGAGTACGCCTGGGGTGAGTTGAGATCAGCCAAGGAACCAACACACTGGACAGAAAAATAAAACTGTATCAGCATGTGATACACAGTAAAGTAGGCAATAAAAAGAGATAATCGGAAGAAATAAATAAACTGACACTTCTGATAAACATACATTTATCAGGGCTGAAATGTTGAGTGAAGAATTTTTCAGTGTTTCATCAATAGAGAATAAAAATAGAGAAAGGAAAAGTTCCTTCCTCCTTCCTTGTAGGTTTGCAGCAAAATAGACAATTATAGACATCACATGTCAAATCATTAGCCTTGATAAACAAGACACGAAGAAGACATGCCAATCAAAGGACATGTAAAACATGTTAATGCACATAAAGAAAAGATCAGTGGTAAATGCAAATGCTGGCTCACCAGCTTTTATGAGATGGATAAAAACTTATATATACTTTTTCTTTTTTTGTTTTACAGAGCCAAACATGTAACTGTCAACAAAGGCCCACGTTGGTAAGTTCATTTCTTTATTGTACAGTGAAGCTACACCAGGAATGTCTCATTTGATTGCCACGTAAGATGTTGATTTGTTGTTGTCTGCTGTATAACGTTTTGATGTCATTTTCTCCTCCTAGAGTGACAGATTTTGACCTCAGCTATGGAAGCATATTGTTCTTCACATCTCCAATCAACAAGATCACAATTTCTCAACTTTTCTCTACACAAAGTCAACTATCAATAGCATATTAGAGGTGAATGTAAATGTTCAGTTACTTTCTTAATATGAGAGAACACACGGGCTGCAGGTCATTTGGTCTTTTTTAAATTTAGCAGTGTGTTGCTTAGATTACTTGCAACTTACTTTTCATCCTTGGCTACTGGAAATTGTGTGTATATAAAGCTGAAGTAATGAAATCCCCCTTGTTTATTCAGTGTGTAATATTTCTTCTTTTTCATACCTAAATAATGCATTCAAATAGTAACTGGTAGGGTTAATAATACATGAATTAGGTGTTCTTTATGGAATTTATGGAAGTGTATTCTACAATTTGTAATTTAAGACATTTGTAAATTGCCTGTTCTAAATAAAAAATGTCTTAAAATATATTGCATTGTGTTCATTTTTTAAACAAACCTCTACAACTTATTTACTACAAGGATATTGATCAATCTGTTACCTTAATGGCTTCATGAAGTAGAAAATGGTAACACTTCTATATACACATATATTAAAAATATCTATGATTAAATTTTATATGGTATAACATGCTGCCAACGTAAATGTTGATGATATATATTTAATTTATGCAAGTTCATTAAAACAACATACATATAAAAATTCTATATGCTTATATGTGTTTTTCTTAATAATTTCTCATTGATTTTAAACATGTCTGTCTTTCATTGATTTTAAACATTCTGCAAAAGTCGTTTCAGACTTTTGGACCCTACTGTATATTATATGAACAGATATTAACAGGCTTTGGGATGGATATATATTTATGTAACATGTCTACAATATAAGCATACATACATAAACATAAATATTTGTATGGGATTTACATATGTACAATACATGAAATTGTTACTATTTTATTTTAATAATAACCTAATAGGTTCTATATATATATATATAATGTGACGTTATGTTTTTATTTTATATGTACATAAATTTCATAATAGAATTTTCAATATATGTACGAATATTATGTTTGCATATGGGAATGTAATGTGTAAACATTTATGACATGAGTCGCCAAGATTATACCCTTCCCTCCTGCATTTCATATACATTGTGCTTCACTGGGTGGTCTAATGCTGATTCCTTAAACAATATATAAGATGTTCATTTCTGCTCCATGTGAAAATTGTTGTGAAAACTACTATTCCAGGGCATTTGAAATTGCTCTTTGAGTTAAACTTGATTAATAAAAACATGTAGGCTAAGCAACTCTCTCTTGATGTTAGGTGATAACAATAACAATATCCCAGAAAGCAAAATGAAACTTTAGGGTCAACCTACACCTGGGTCCTCGAGCTTGGCCCACATCTGGCCCATATACTTCCACATCTGGGCAGATTCCCACTGTTGCCCCCTGGTATTAGCTGACAGCCAGAAGACTTTTTGTGTGTGTGTGTGTGAGTGTGAGTGTGTGTGTGTGTGTGTGTGTGTGTGTGTGTGTGTGTGTGTGTGTGTGTGTGTGTGTGTGTGTGTGTGCGTGTGTGTGTGTGCCAGAACTGGTCCAGATGTGGAGTAGCATCTGACATTAGGGCAGTGGAACCAGGGGTATACTGGGCCAGATGAAAACAAGCATATGGGTACAATTTATCTATCTATCTATCTATCTATCTATCTATCTATCTATCTATCTATCTATCTATCTATCTATTTTATCTTTTCTTTTTAAATCACAACGTTTTGAAAATACCATTAGTATTTTTATTAGATTTTGTAGTGTTATTATTTTTAATATACAGTCTATGGTATTTGTGTAACATTGGCGTTAATAGTTTTAATAAACCTCAAACATTATGGAGTGGGTTTTGTAAACTCGCAGCCGGAAGCCCGATTAAAACTGCGCAACGTTGAGCAACATGTCGGACTGATTTTACCTAGCAACAGCTACTCTTGATTTTTCTACTGGTGGACTCAGTGGAGATATAATCTCTCAGGGAGGCACTTATGTTTCAACCGATTTCAACAAGAGTATGCAGGAACTCGTTTTGGTGGGCGGGGCTAGCAGGCGTGTACCTTAGCCTCCTGATTCGCCTCACAGTGTCAAACACCGCCCAGCGTCTCGTCGCGTACCAGGAAATAATCCCGACAACAACGCAATACAACTTTACTTTCGTTTTGGACCGCGGGGACATTTTAACGTCTTATTCGAACAAAGATATAATAACTGTTCTACTACGTTACCGTCTGAAGGAGAAATCATGAAAACAACTGTTAACGCAGTCTGTGTTGGTCTACTGTGCCTCCTCGCCACTTCAATGGCCAAACATTGTAAGTAATTTACTGTACATATATGTAGCGATATATTTGCAAATGGCGCAGTGTCACGGAGTGTCGTGAAATGTCAAGTTTCAGACTTGACAGACTTTTTTACCTTTCAAAATTTGGAGAAATACCGCTAGAAATTGTTCTCCTGAAATTAAAGTAAAAACTTCGATTAGTAAACGTTTGTTTTTTTGTTTGTTTTTTTGCCACATTTAAATTTTAACATCATGAAATACAGCCTCAAGCATAATATACGGTTTACTTCAGGATATAGTAGCTACATTCACTCAGAACATAGGAAGGAATTAAAAAATAAAAACAAACAAACAAATGATCCTCTTGGCAAACTATATTAATAAATATAACAAGTGTTTAGAAGAAAAGAGAAACTGCATTGCTTGTACTGAAATTAGTCACTCACTTGATCGTCTGTTAAATCTTAATCCTTAACATAATAAAGGGCCTAATATATACTGCTTAGCATTTAATATGTAGGATATCCTTTCTAATGGAAGGCTTGATAACATCTGTCTTATCCTTTGTGTAGCGCTTGGTCTGTGAATTCTTTTATGCATGCTACGCATATTTGGCATAAAGCAAACTGAGGTTTTAGATGCTGGTTCCCTTTTACTGTAGTTCTGTTTCTCTGGATATAAACCCAACAGAAAGGTTTAATTAGTAAACATTTGTTGATGTTAAAGGTTCATTTAATGTCTGGGTGATAATACTATAGTAAGAGAAGAGTGTGTATGAGTGACATTCTCATTAGTTTTGCCACCACTCTTCATGTTTCCATCAAATCACTTCTTTACATGTGTCTAAGGTTTTTCTGTCTCTCTGCAGCCCCACCTGAGGTCCAGGTGTACAGCCGTTCACCAGGGATATACGGCAGTCCCAACACCCTGATCTGTCATGTGACTGGGTTCCACCCACCAGAAATCATCATTGAGCTGCTCAAGAATGACAAAGTGATTCCTGGAGCCGGGCAGACTGACCTGGCCTTCGAGGAGAGCTGGAGCTACCATCTGACCAAACATGTGCCCTTCACCCCAAACAAAGATGACCACTATGCCTGCAGAGTGACTCACTTGGGGAAAGTGAAACAATACATTTGGGGTATGTGTCCGTCTCTGTTTGTCTACTGCCTTTGTAATATTGACATTTTTAATATATTAAGTACAGCATCGCTACATCGGGTTGTACAAGGTTTACAAAGTGTAATTATTTAGAATAATAAGAAAAAAGACTATAAATATTACATATACATTACTACACTATACAACATTACATTACACTACACAACCACATTACTATACATACCTAGACACAGCACAGCATTTCTCCTGTTATTATTCCTCGTTTGTGAATCTGATCCACTTTAGGTTTCGTTTAGTTTCTATTTTTATTTCTTCTTTATATACTTGTAATATATATATATTTTTTTTTTACTTATTTCTTGTGCTGCTTCAACACCTCAATTTCTCCTCTGGGGATCATTTAAAGCTTATCTGATCTTATGTGCTTAACTTTAACAAAACTAATCAGAAAGGAATCTATTAAGGATTGGATGTATACTGTATCACACAATTTGTGATCATTTTTTCTTTTTAATTCAGTTAATTACAGTAATAGCAAACAACATTTATATGTTAGCTACTATTAATAATAATGGTAATAACTATTTATTTTTTACAGCACAGGTTGTATAGTTTTACTTATATATAAAACAAACACATGAGACACACTCATTGTCCATTTTTCTGTCCCACAAAAAAAAAAAAATCTTGATCAATTTGATCATTTTGAGATTGAAACCACTAATTAAACAAACAGATCTACATGGACATGAACTGGGACATGATTTTGAGTTTTTCATTTAATTAGGCAGCACACGAAACAGATACATTACATTAATACCTTATAATGTTTTTATTTTCTCTGGAACGCTCCTCAATCACAGTCCTGATGTGAGGTGCTAGAAAGAGCAGTTTGTCAACATGTTTGTTTTTTTTCCCTCTCTACAGAACCAGATATGTAGGTTCTTTGCTCCACCCTGCTTCAGGTATGTACCATTCTCACTGTCAGTGTCATCTTTCAAATCATTAAACCGATAATCTGTGCAGTACATGTCTGAGTGACTCCACACTTCTTCTATTCTTTGTTTGACAACCACAGGTCTGCTCAGGCTCAACATGACGATGAAGAAGATTGGAAAGTTTCGTCCGGTTTTGAGTTTAAGCTTCAGCAAATGAGAGAAAAACAGCACTTAATGTGTTTCTGTATCAGAAATTCCAAATGACAGTAAATCTCCATGAAATAGTTTGCTGTGAAAAGGGCCGAATCACTCCAAAACTCACAGCAGCAAGCCTTACAATGACCAGGAAAAAAGAAAAGAAGGCACAATAAATGCGAATGCTTCTTCTCGCTGTTTTCCTCTCTCTCTTGCTTTATCTGTACCTGCCGGCTCGCACCGTACACAAACAAAGAGATTTACAAATATGAGCTTATTCACTTTAACAATCATAAATTGACCTCTTCTGGCAAAAAGATGTTTAAAATATCAAAATCAATTTAATACATTCATGCTTTATTATTAGAATATTAAGTCCTAATGACTAACATGTCAGCAAACACATCCAGTAGAAACATAACAATGTGTATATGACATTTACCGTAGTAAAGTAGTAATGTCAACAACGCGATAGTATCCCTAAAAACAAGCGTGATTTTAACATTGGATGAAGCGTTATGTAACTGAGCTACATGTGTATGTCGAGCAGAACCGCTGATGTGGATGTAAAAATTGTGTAAATACGTTCTTCTCTATGTGTTAGTCTGTTATTGTGCAATGAGCCAGAAACAGCTTTGTAATTCTCAAAAATAATGTGCAAGAACAAAATGTTAAGTTAGGTTTTAGTCGCCTTGATGCAGTGGATTTCAGCATGTGCTGTTAGACACAATGGTTAATGGCTGAATGGCTAGTGACCTGTCAGCTGTGAACTTGTGGCTGCCCACAAAAAAAAACAAAGTAGCACAAACCTTGTCATTTTGGAGAATCATTTGATTTAATATTCATGTGAAAAATTTTGCTTCATGGAGCTTTCTGATAACTTTATTAATGATTAGCATCTCTGTGTGTGTAATCCAGTGGTTCTCAAAGTGAGATCTGGGGAATCATTTATTTCCACTATATTATAAGGGTCCTTGATGTGATAAAACGTTGAGAACCACTGTCATCTAATCTAATCTATGCCAAGTGCTAAATGCTAAGATACATAAATAGTTTTTTAAGCACTGTTTTATCTTACTGAATATCAAGAGTGGATTAGGCTTTTTATTTTCCCCTTAAGATTTATTTTACAGAATGACTTGAGCACTTTCTTGTTCTGTTTGTGAAGGAGATAAGTTCAGCATAAAAACTATGAGGCTCATATTGATTTTTAATGTATTTTACAATATTGTTGGGTAATTAAAGAGTTAGTGACTCTGAAAGTGATAATGTGTTTGTCTGTCTATTGCCATCAGAGGATGAAGTTTCACTGGGTGAATCTCAAAATGTCCTTTCTGCTCACTTTATTATGTTCGGAGTCATAAAACACTTCACAGTCAGTGAGTTGGGAGGGGCTGTGGTATAATTATTGTAGCTGCCTTCTAGAGTTTATAGCACAGGTCCAAAGTTTTTTTATATGTCTGTTTTAAAACAACATTGAACATTACATTCAGGAAATCTCTTACTAATATGATTTCAATGGAGGATAAAATCCATATTCCTTATGTTTTGAGAGAAGTTTATTCCAAAATTCAGCTTAAATTATGTCAGACTTCATCTACTTACAGTACCTCCTGACAGTAATGGTCCCTCCTGTCTGTACTGAACACAAAGAGATTCTTATTGGGGACAAAGTCCACGTCCTCCACAGTCCTCGTAAAAATGCATTTTAAAAAGTTCAGATGAAGCAAATATAAAACTTCACCAGTCTGAATTAGACAATGAAAGCGGTTATCTGCCAAAATATTTGGTGGCCAAGGGGTGCGAGACACAACAACAGCAACACAGAAAACAACACTTCACATTTTGGAAAAGGTAAGGATAGAAATTCTTGCTCATGACTGGACAGAACCCAATTCAGATTATTCAGAAGTAAACCCCACCAATGTGCTGACTGGCTATGGATGTGTAAAGGTAGTACTGGGCCGATTTTAAACTGAACGGATACACTTTGAACGGATGGAATGAGATATTGAAACCATAAGGGGGCATTCAAATGAAAGCCATTCATGTGATGTCATTCATGATAACATGAAGATATCAAATTGTGTCAGGATTCACTGATAACAGCACAGGTAGAGGTGGAACCAAATGCAGACACTAAGTCAGGTTGATTTAGTGATGCGTTTCAGAAGGCAAAAACAACTTTACAGCCACACTGTAAAATGTGACAAGTTGATCTTAAAAAATCCAGGAAACTGATTGACTTAATAAATGTAACTTTATATCCGCTCGTGAAGTTTACTTGAAATTTAGTTGCGTTTACTTCATTTTATGAAGTTGTTCCAACCTAAAAATGGCAACTAAAGTTAATTTTCTCTCTTTACTGTAATAAAAGGTCAACAGGGAAAAAAAGTCTGGGGACATCTTGTGGGCGGAAGGAGAATTGCAGGTCTGAAGGGGGAGGACATGGTCTGAGCTGTGAGAGGTGACAGAAAACAGATCTTGGGGGAAAAAAGGCAGATTGTCACAAAATGCTTCTTTTATTTTTCTTCCATCTTTTCCTCCCACACAGCTGATTTATGATTTATAAGACACACCTTCAGTAGTCTCTTATTTTATTCCGCCCAACAACCAGCAACATACCACAGTACAACACCAGGACCAGCTGCTGATGCATTGTACTGCGTGGCAATACAGCCACAATATATACACAAACAAAATATACAGTTTTCTTATTGAGATGTGACAAACATGTCTACAGTATAAATCTTAATAGAAACTGATGACACTGCTATTGCTGGATGGTATTTAGGAATGACACTGTTGTTTTTCATGGGATGCTGGATGCAAGTGATAGTGGGTAATGTTGTTTTTCCTGTCTGACCTCATGATGGCGCTGTTGTCTCACTGTTATAAAGAATAAATTCAGACACACTGATGAAGAAGCATATTTTTACAACCTTGTCGTCATGGTAACATGATGGTGAAGCACCTGGGTCACGGGTTTAGCATTGTCTTTGATATTGACGGGTTTTGATGGAACCAGCTCTGCAGATGAAGATGCACCTGATGACACTGATGATGAGGAGCTTGTTTTAGAGCCATTCATGAACCAGAACATTTAGGAGCACAACTGAAGCTTCACTCTGAATGGTACAAACAGTACAGATACGTCCAGTTAGCAGTCAAAAGAGAAGTTAGAACTGATGGAGACCCTGATGCTGGCACTGACATGTAAGCTGTTGTAGAGATTTCTGGAGAAAAGTAAAGAAGATCCACGACTTCCAAATCTGTCTCGTGATGTGCTGTGTTTTCTGTTTTGTTTGTTGTGTATGATTTCATGTTTTCTGTTGTGGCTTTGTTTTGTGAAATTGTGAGAGTGTTTTGCACCTCAAGGGCCACCGTGTAAATTACTGTCTTTGAGCTGCAGCATAGTAACAACTTTTATACCAAGCAGTAAAACTTCAGCAAAATGCCCTTTAAGTAAACACCTACCCTACCACTGGCCTACGCACATAGAAGTCTGTCAGGGGGATACAGGAAGTGGAACCATGGAATCCAGATGTGGCTGAAACTGAACTTCAGTGATGACTCAAGTTCATTTTGAAACACTTTTGCGAGTGGATTTGTCATGCTAGTGTGTGTCCATTTAATAGATAGATGGAGTTTGAGTAACTCTCTCAGCTGTGGTGATGCTGTGAGTCTGTGTGTTGACTCACTGAACAATGACTTCATAGGTCTTCACGCTACGTGAGAGGAGGGCGGGAGTTTCCGTATTTGAGCAACAGTTTGTAGGTGTCTCGTTTTGTTATTTTGGCCCAATGTCTCTCTGTGAGGACGGCTGTTCAGATGGATTCCTCCACCTTCCTCTACGATGTCCCCCCGCTTCTCCTCGAGAGCTTCTGTCGGATCATGGACAGCGGAGGCGACAGTCTGGGATGGCGCGGACTAGGTGAGGAAGTGCTGTTGTTACGACCACCGCCTCCGTGGAGAGTTAGAGTGGAAGACTTTTAACAGTTGACCGGTGGCTTGTGTTATATTTGTCTGTTTGATTAAAAAAACAAAAAACAAAAAAAAAATTGTGGAATTTTAAATAAATAAGATCTATACAACAATTGAAATACACTTTTATCAGAACAATGAAGATTTGTAGAAGTTTAAAACAAAATCAAATACTGTTAAAGCTCATTAAATAACAAGGTAGTATAATAACACATTTAAAAAAAAATCTGAAGAAAATGAAACACAAGTAATTATTATATATAATATTATATAATTATCCATCCATCCATTTCCTAGCGCTTATCCTCTAGTAGGGTCGCGGGGGGGCTGGAGCCTATCTCAGCATCCTTTCGGGCGAGAGGCGGGGTACACCCTGGACAGGTCGCCAGTCCATCGCAGGGCAAACACACAGAGACAGACAACCATTCACTCTCACAGTCACACCTATGATCAATTTAGAGTATTCAATCAGCCTAGTCCCCATTTGTATGTCTTTGGACTGTGGGAAGCCGGAGTACCCGGAGAAAACCCACACAGGCACGGGGAGAACATGCAAACTCCACACAGAAAGATCCCGCGTCCGAGCCGGGACTCGAACCCGGAACCTTCTTGCTGTGAGGCGACAGCGCTATTATATAATTATAATTGAGGATTTAGTTTTTGAAGTTAAAGTACCTACCCTCACAAATGATCCTAAGAATCATAAAATAGAGGTAAAAAGCACAACAAGAAAACTGTATAACAGCAGTATGAAAATGCAGATGTTAAAATAGATAAAGTGCAAGAATCAAAGATTAAATTAAGATGGAGGAGCAGCATAAAATGAATGAATGGATGCCTGTCCTTATTTTCATGTACACACTGTTCCTCTGAGTTTGATTCATCTTCATGTCCACCACCTTTCCCTGGCCTCCAGCTGTCCGAATCGCCCCCAGCTTGTTAGAAGTCCGCATGTTGGAGCGCTTGGAGGCAGCAGGTCGGAGTCCCACCTGGGAGCTGCTGTGGTCCTGGGCCCAGCAGAATTCAAGAGTGCAGGACCTGCTCAAGGTGCTGCAGGACATGGGCCACCACAGGGCCCTGCAGCTCTTCCAGAGTCCAGCTCAAGGCCAGTTACAAACAATTCAAGGCAAGTGCAAACTCCAACAAGTGTAATGGTGACATTGTTCACATAGTTAAATGCAGAGCAAATCAGAGGGTGATGGTTATTTTTAGATAAACATGTGGCTGTGGGGTAGTTAGTTAGTAGCAATATTTAGTAGCAATATTCAATCATATTGACTATCGCCATATACAATATTTTTCATAATATAATGATTATAATTCTTTTGTTTTGCAGTTCTGCACTGCTGCCAACTCCAGCCCTTATTTCTTTGCTTTGGTTATTGTACATTGTACCGCAGCATGTCACAAATAAAACTTTGAACTGCTAAGTGGCAGCATCACTCACAGGAGAAAGATGAAATAGAATGGTGAAACTATATATTATAAAATCACCTGGAAAATAAAATACAATAATATAATTATGTATTAGTAGGGTTAGTTATTAGAAGGGTTGAACCAATTTCTAGTTTTTTATTTTTTTATTTATTTTTTTATATAAAATATCTGCACATCTCACATCTCTGTGTGGAATTAACTGGGATGAACACGTGGGGATCTTGAGGCTGTAATTGCATGTGAATTTTTATCCACAAGTGGAAACAGTCATGTATCAACATTTTTATTTTAGCTTTTGCAGATTTTAATTTGATTCTTCTTGAAGGTTTTGTGTTGTAAAAAAATAAATAAATGAACTGTTACATTTCTTGAAATGATGCTTATGTAAGTGGGTCAGTGAAACTAGTCGAAGCAGCGTCAAAGCACTGCTCTGCTCCCGCCAGTAAGATTGGAAAAAACTTACAGATAACCATGATATGTGTCTCTTGATGGCTAACCACTGCCAGAAAGTTGATGTTGAGCCTATTGGATTTATTGTACACATAGTCTCACTATCAACAACTTACATGAAGTAGACCATAAAGCCATTGGTGGTACAGTTAAGGTCAAAAGATAGAAAATGGCTTTAAAGATATTTAAAGTGAAGATTTAAAGTGCAGCAGCTGCCTGAGAGTCTGACTTCAGGGGAAACACACTTCCTTGTAACTTGCAATGAAGCTTGTTGAAGTCAAAGTTTATTGTAGTTCTCTTTGTACACAGTGGCAAGTGAAGTTCACATACATGTTTTCAACTTACTCCAACAGGAGTAACTGGGGTTAATTGATGTTAATGCAGGATTGCAAACAGCTGTGAGACTGGATGAGTAGGTATGGGGAGAGTGTTGGAGGGAAAGTATATTATGGAGGAAATAAAAAAAAACCTTTGTTGCTTCCTCTTTGTGGTGCATGCCTGATGTCAGCAAACCACATTGATGCACATTAAACTTTTTAATATTTGGACAATGTCTCTATTTCAGAGTCACAGTCACCCCCCAAGGATCAACACACAGAGCGTGAAACTAAAGTGAATAAGAATAAGGAATCCCTCCAAAAAGAGGAGCTTTCTTCGAGTCCTGGTAAGTGAAGGGAAGATTATAATGGAGACCTAATGAATTGTTGTTAACCACCAGTAAGGTGTAATTTTGGAGGAATTCCCCTTTCCACGAAGGTTGAATTTTGACTGACCACGTGTGATTTTCAGCACGTATGTGTGAGGCAGTGTGACGTCAAGTCAGTCTGTCTGTCTGTCTGTGTATTTCAGTGTCCACCGGAGAAAACCAGCCATCCGTTATCACCTTCCAAGACATCAGGGAGGGAACCCGAGGTTTCCACCATGAAATGAGAATTGCAGAGGGACATTTTTCTGATGTCTACAGAGCATGGATAGGAAATAAAACCTTTGCAGTCAAGCTTTTTAAACAGGTGATTATTGACTCTCTTAAAGGAACAGTGACATTTTGGGAAATAGACTTTTCTTAATTAAGTTCTTAATTTTTCACAATAAAACTGAATATCTGGGGTGTAAGGATAATTCAAATGTATTCCTCATCCATCATTCTCCAGGTAAATAATGTGTCCTGGAAGAAGCTGTGGGATATCTTCACTAAAGAAATGGAAGTTCATCATTTGTACGTACAAACCCTCACTCTCAAAATACCTTTTCCAAGTGTGTCTGATAGTGTTTTCAATATTTAATGTGCTGACATGTTCCAGATATCAACATCCAAACATCGCAGACTTGTTGGGCTGTTTTTCTGACGAGGGCCACTACTGTCTGCTCTATCCTTACCTCCCCAGTGGATCGCTTTCCCACAGACTACACCATCAGGTACGATTCGCAATGACTTGCTGCAGTTGTCAGTCCATTATGAAGTCATTGTGAAATGACTTCCTGTTTGTGATTCAATCACCAAGCCAGAAAATCAAACAGGAAGTTCACATGCGTTCAGCGGTTTTGCTTTTCTAAAACTTTGCAGAACTAAGAGGCTTTAAATATGAAAATTCAAAAAAAGAAGAACAAAAATAGAACAAATTTACAATGACGAAAAAACCCAGCCAAGTTTTACTGTGTATTTTCTATGTTCTGGGACAAATCTGGACTCAACCACACCTGTTTGGTGGATGCATGACATCTTTCCTTTGAGTCATTTAAAGCAACATTATGCAGCTGAATAACAGCTTCAACATCATCTCGTAACAGTGAGAATGGCGCCTCTTTCTTTCCCACTCTGCGCCCTGAATGCCTGCTCTTGCACTGTATTATTTGGGTTCAGCAGATACGATCAAGAGTTTGTAACACTTTACAGCACTATATCACACAGCTATGGCTCTTCAGCTTGCTATAAGAAGAAGCTAGCTTCTAAGCGTGGACATCATGGCAGAGGCTAGCTCCTAGCATCTACATGTTAGCACACAACTGCTGCGGGTTCAGATGTTTTCAGTCAGTCAGATTAGCTGAATGCTAATTTGTCATGAGTGGACAGCGTGATTGCTGATTTGTGTTTGTTGTCTGAGCGATTGATAGGCTTTGTTTTCTGTACATGAGCTGTTAGCTTCCAGGGGTAGGCTACACTGCCTCCTGTACCTTCAACCTGGGTTGTGAAGTGCTGTGCTAGTCCTTATGTCATGCCTGTCTGTGAAGGCTTTCACATCCATTTTGCCCAGTTAATTTGGCTACTGTAGCTGTTTAAAAGCAGATTTTTGTGTCATAGTTAAAGTGGTATGTTGTCACTGTACAGGACGGAGAGCATCCTCTGACTTGGCAGGAGCGTCTCACAATCATCAAGGGAGTTGCAAAAGCTTTGCATCACCTCCATACGGCCCAGCCCTGCCCAGTGATCTGTGGCAACATCTCCAGGTACAAGCCACTAAACACACACTCACTTCACACTCTGGAGACACTCTGCTCTGAGAAGCTTGTCCAAGTCTGAGATTACATTCCCATTCACTTGAATGGGTACTGGTATATATATGTGGTATACATATATTACTGGGTTATATTGGTTTTAAAGGGTCATACCACATGGCTTCATCATTGTTGGCTTTGGGACCTCCACTGTTAGTTGCCTTCTCTTCCATCTGTGTTGTCTCTCTGTTGTCTGTGGCGTTCAGAGAGTGACACAGTGTCTTTTAATGGCTTCTCCTCACAGTGCTAACATACTGTTGGACGACGCCCTGCAGCCCAAGCTGTCTAACTTTGGGTTGGCTCGTCTACGTCCTCATTCAGCCAATCAGAACTGCACCATCACTCTCGACACGAGTTTCCACAGCAACCTGGGATACCTCCCTGAGGAGTACATCCGAGATGGCAAGCTATCCTTCAGCCTGGACGTCTACAGCTTTGGAATGGTGATTGTATGAGATCATATATGCCAAGCTAAACTTTCTCTATTCAGTGTATCAGCCGGGTGTTTCATCGGTAGGTTGTAAAAGTTTACAGCAGGAAAAATTACAGCAACAGCCAAACAAAAGCAAAGATAGTTTCACTCTCTTTTAGCTCTGTTTTTGGTCTCCACCAGTTCCAGAGGGAAATATCTGGCTCTGGAGCAGCTTAACGCTCTGCTATTTTTCACCAGCTAGTCTCTGACTATGTGTGTGTGCTGTGCTCAACAGGTTGTGTGCAGTGTGATTTTAGGGAAGTGAATGTGAATCATAAGTAAAGTTTAAGTTAAAACCAAAACAAGAAGTTGAAATATTCTGATGCCCTCCATAGAGCTGAGGAGAACTGCAGAGTCTGGTGATAACTCTCTGAGGGACACCTTTCACGTTACATGCTGTCAATATAAGAATATGAATTTAGCAACTTCCATATATGAAATATATGTATATATACTGTATAATATAAAAACACATATGTAAAAATGATATATGAAACCTATTAGAAGTTGGAACAATTTCATATATTGGCATATATATGTACCCATACAAATATATGTATATATATATATATATATATATATATGTTTATGTATGTATGCTTATATTGTAGACAAACATAAATATATATCCATCCCTGAATGTCAATAAGAATATAATAATATTAATTAATTAATAAGAAAAACATAAGCATATAGAATTTATATATGTATGTTGTTTTAATAATCTTGCATATGTAAATTAAATGTATTGTTAACATATATGGTTGCAAAATTCATCATATAGATATTTTAATATATGTACATACATGTCATAAACGTATATCTTCATATATCCACAGCATGTATATAATACATGATGATAATATAGGTGGCATATTTGGCAACATCACTCTGGAGAGTAGTAGAGGGGGTGTATTAAAGGACCCATTTCCCCTGTTTTTGGGTGTAAATGATTGATAGGGACAAACATCTCTGTAACCGGTTCTATTGAGCAATAACGGCATACCCAGAACAGATGCTGCAATATAATCACATGGTGCATTTGTACATCCACTAAAAGTGTTTGTTGTCCCACTGCCTCGATCACATTGTTATTATAAGTGTCTGACAACATTATGGACAGGATTCCTGTAGAGATCAACCATTTTTAGGAGGAAGTTCCTTTTTGTTTAACCAGGAACAACCTTTATATCGGTCTGTTCAAAACTGCCAGACTCCATTGACAAAAAACAATCATTTCACCTCACAGAAGTTGCTGGTTTACTGCTACTCAATCAGTGAGTTTGTTTGTGTCTTTTATTTAAGTTAAAGTACTAGACAAAGAAAAAACATGGGGAAGTTAGGCCCATGGAGTTCTCCTTAAAACAGCAAAAATTACAAGCAGCAAATAGAGTTATGAAATATGTGCTGTATAAACTGTATAAACAGTATAAGTAAATGTTACTGTGCTGAAAACAGGACTATGATTTCTAATGGAAACATTATTCGGTCATTGCCACTAATCCCAGTTTGCTTGATCTCAGGTGATAATGGAAACAGTAACAGGACGGAAGGTCATAGAGGATGGACCCAAACAAACACTGCTGGTGAGTTCAACACTGAAGCAGCAATAGTAACTTCACTTTATATGAAGCCCTTATCTATATGCTATATGACAATGTCACACAGATCTACCAAGAAAATGAGAACACATTTGTAATCTATCGTGGTCAGTATAACCGCCCTGTAAGAAATCCTGCTTCTATGAATCATTATCAGTTTTCTGTGAGACTGTGCCCGATTTGGGCTGATTCAGGTCTGTGGTCACTTTTATCTGGTTACATTATCTGGATAATGATATTCTGATTATAAGCCTTTGCATTTATACCAAGTATTAATAAGCATCCAGTCGCACTTAGACACATTCTCTGTGCATTTACAGCTGCATCAATGTGTTTTCCATTTATCTGGGAACAACATCCAGGAAATGGCATCAAATAACCCCGATTTGAAATAATTATATTGAAGTTTCCTACTGTTATGATCACATACATAGTTTCCTGCATTATGTCTGCTTACAGCAGCTCATTTAATGGTTTATGTATGTGTTATACTTACCAAACATGTCCTCTCTCGGTCCCTCTCTGTCTCTCTGTGTCTCTTTCCTCTCTCAGAGGGATTTGCTCGTCTCTGAGGTGGAGGACAGCGGTGGTGTGGACTCTTGTCTGCAGTTTTTGGACAAGGCGGCCGGTCGGTGGCCGACTGCCTTGGCCCTCAGCCTACTGACTCTGGCCTTGGACTGCACTGCGAGCCGCCACCGCCACAGACCAAGCATGGAGAATGTGAGCGTCAATAGTTCATTCTGGACTTTGAGGATCAGCATCTGTAATAAAACATTTATATAGTTTTTCTCAATTGTCTTCAGGTACTTCGGACACTGAGCCAGCTGCTTCCTCCGCCCACATGCCCACTTGCAGATCAACCCCGCAGCCTGGATGATGGGGCCGCTGTGAATGCCCAGCAGAGCCCCCCATCCTCCTCCCTCCCTGTGGAGCACGATGAGCAGCACAGCCTCCCTGGGGCTCCAGGACAGGCAGGGCCCTGTGAGTGCAGCCAGTCGGAGGTGACATACCTGAGTGACAGCGTGGGATCTCAGGGTGAGGCAGCAGTGGACCTGTACGGCAGCTGGCCTGTACAGTGCAGCTGCCCGGCTGAGCCCGGTGGTCTGGCCTGCGAGGACTGCAGGGCCAACGGGTACACGCCCTACCACACAGAGAGTCCTCAGAGTAAGTCTCTGTAAGATACTCAGTCCCTCACTACAGAGGGGAGAGCAGTTGTCTTCCTCCCCAAACCTGCATATCACACTTGACCATCTAAAATGTATCAGATGGGTGAGTCAACTTTACCAGGTGCCTCCTAGAGCTCAGGAAAAACCCAAAATACTTTACCCAACAAGAATTTTCCTTTTTGGTCTTTGTCAACACTTTTACTTTCACTTTTGGAGATAGTCAACAAACATTTACAGCATGTTTGATAATGATTTAAAGACACGTTGATCCTCTAACTGCATTGGGGTTACAGTGATCTCCGCTCAACTGTCCCATCTCAGCCAAATCAGACATCTGGGTGTTAATACAGCACTCTGTCTAATTATGTCTCCATGCCGGCGACAGCCAGAGCTGGGTTCTGGGTTGTCCATCCGTCAGTCACGTTCTTGTGAACCTACCTTTAGACATGGTAGCATTTGATTGGCTGAAAGGGTGGGGACTATCTGTGCAAATGTTGCACTTACTGCCAGACACAGAGGAAGTGAGAGCGGATCAGTGAGCCTCACCCATGGGAGAAAATGTAGTATTTCAGATGACTCCATGTCCTCTGTTGCCTGAACTGCAGCACACATAACTTAATGTTGTCCATACCTACATGTTGTAGATATCAGGCCACCAACAAACAGACAGCAGGAGCTTTTTCACCAACCAGACCGTCGTAATAGGTAGTGAACGAACCATTGAGCAGCCACAGTGATTCTAAATGAAAACCTGCTAGCTAGCTAATGTCACCAGCCTTTCATCATGTGACTGTTAATACTGATGCATCACTGGATTAGCAGCATTTTACTGCTGTAGCTGAGCAAGGTGGAGCAAGGAGAAAATGGAAAGTGCAGCACTGGTAGATCTATTGAAAATAAACATGTTGATGTTGCAATGCATGCATGTTGGATGCAAAAATATTATTTGTTTTTTTCTCTTTTCAGTTAACAACTCATTTCCCAACGTTAGAATTTGGTGGTCAAAGGTCACTGTGACCCGCAAGACATGTTATTTGGCCATAACTCGCAAATTCATCCACTAATTATGACACAATGTGACACAAATGTCTAATAGGATAAAATGATGAAGTGATGGCATTTTGTATCCAAAAGGTCAAAGGTCAACCTCACTGTGACATCAAACTGTTCTATAAAAACACTTCTGGCCATTATTCAGCACTGTAACTCAGGAAGGAGAGAGGTGGTAATTCTGTTTCTATGATAATGATGTAATATGATGTGTTTAAATCAGATTGGCTGATCTCACTAAACCTCCTTGTTAAGGGGGACGTACATAAAAATCAATCACTGCAATCACTGACATTTATTTATTACATGTGGAATATATTGTGTGTATGCTGGCCTGAACAAAACTCACGAGTTGTTGCGTTGTGTGTGTTTCAGCTGACGTCAGTGTGGTGGAAAACGAAGCCAAGGAGAGGCTGAGGAACAAACTGAGTCTTTATGACAGAGGGCTGATTCACACAGAGGAACTGTTCTCTGAGGCAGGACTGCAGTAAACAGCAGGATCCCTGATAGCTCTGGGGTCCACTGACGTTTTCAACGCTGTGACAAGACAGCACAAATCAACATAACTCCTCGCACCACACTGTGACACCTGACTATGTTCTCATTCAGATGGTTATTACTGAAACTTAAAATAATACAAAGTTTTTTTTTTTTTTTACAAAGTGTTTTCCACTGTTCACATTTCCACACTGTTGTACAATTAGTCAGTATTAGTGAATGATTACTGACACTGTCACCCGTAACTGATCTGATGGCTTGATGCATCACTGACAGTGACAAGTCCCACCAATTAATCATAGTGAAACTGTTTCTCTGCTAAGGTTTTCTCTTTTCACATCGGCCGGTTTCAGTGAGACCTCCTCCCTGGTTGATTTCTGTGACAAACACAAACACAGGAAGTGGAGTGAAATAAACAAAAACACTAGCAGAGTAACAAAATGTATTTTAATGTATTTAATTGATAGTTGATAAAGCTTTTTATTTCTTTTACAAACCAGTTACATGAACTCATCCTGTTTTATTTTGTTACATTTGCACATTTTGATCTGTACAGTTACAGACACAGTGTCGAGAATGAACAGTGTGGGAATTATTAACAATTCAATACAGGTGTTTTAACAGAAAGACCTGACACTGTCTGGGCCCAACACATTATTGTTTTCATTACTATTATTATGATTGTCAGTGTATTTGTCGTGGATAAAGTGTTAGCGTTAGTAGATATTTATTTATTTCTTTTATCCAGTTTGCTGCTGCCTTTTCTTTCTCCCCACATACACTGTATATATACACACACACACACACACACACACACACACACACAAACCGAAAGTAACAACATCAGACAGCTTTGATCTTTAGAAATTGTCTTTGTTGTTGTTTCGTTTTTGCTTCTTTGATTTCAAAGTGTGTAGCATCAAAAGTCAGACAGATCCGTGATCCTCTGTGGTTATTGTGTGAGCAGATCCTGGCTCACTGTGTTTGTCTTTAGACACAGTGTCTGGAGTGTTTCTACAGCCGCTTGTGTTTAAGTTAAAGGTTTAAGAAGTTTGGCTTTTTTATTGTGAAATGGAAAACAGATTCGGTAGATTCTGTAAAACCAGGATGGTGTCGTAGAGGGAAAATCACTTGTGGGCAGAAATGAATAGAGAACCAATAGAGAATTAATTGACGACAACTTTCATAATCAATCTTTTAAATATTTCTACATGCAAAAATGCACACACAACTTCAATGACCCATTCAAATGAATTCACTGGCTTTATAAAATAAATGTAATAAATAAAGAAGCAAACGTAAAGATGTCATTTTTTACTATGTACAAATAGATATTTGCCACTATTTGTGTCTGTCACGTTTTACTGTTTATGTTGAGACATATGAATTTAAGTCATTTGAGAGCATGAATTAGTAAATCATGCACCCAGATGATTATTTCTCCCCATGACTCCTGTCAGGCTGCATAATGTAGCTCAAAGTAAGGTGTAGAAAAAGTAGCTTTTTTGGTATAAAAGTTATTATATCTGCACTTGTTTTTGGAAGCTTTCAGATAAAACTGAGCATTACTACAAACTAATGCTGTTAAGTTCATGTTATGTGCAAACATGGACAATTAGTGTACAAGAAATGAATTGTTCTGCCATTTTGTACTAATGGGAAACGTTAGCAGCTGGATGTGAATCATTTTCCTGCTACCAATTTCAAATTCAAAATCTTCACATAAGACGAGAAAAAAAAAAGTTTTTCCCACGATGTCAAACTATTTGCAAATAGAACTTGGAAAGAAAAAACTGGCACCAGAGTAAAACCAGTATCAGCTCCTTCATGGATGTTGGTCAGTGCAGCGTAGTGACCATCATCACGCCAGCGATTTTTATCTAAATAAATGACTCTGATTAAAACTCTGATTAAGTCAATACTAATGAGCGCATGACGCGTGTTGACTTTGCTGTGTGGGCGGGCGCGTGGAGAAGACACTAACTACTCCTCATAGCTCCAGACTGTGAGCATGCAGCGGTGCCTTCTTCTGGATGAGGCTGACGAACTCGTGCTTCTCCAGGCAGCCTCGACACTCTTCCCCCCACGACGCCAAAATGTTCCTCAGCTCCAAAACTCGCAGCTTATTCAGCCCGTCGCTGCTCAGGTCCTTCAGCTGAGACTCTGCAGACACACACCAAACACAAGACACTTTACTTTCTGTCCACACACACACACACACACACACACACACACACACACTGATACTAATAATGAATGGTTGGCCTCTGTTGTGTATTTGAACACACTTTACCGTATTTGAGCTCACAGATCTGTGTGTCTCTGCTGCTGAGGCGCTGACAGATCTTCTCAACGGGGACGTGGGAGGCCAGGGGTCGAGCGACTGACGCTGTGACACGTGTTGCTGCATCACTACTGGCTCCGAGGTAGTAACACTAGGACGGCACATAAACGTACTTCTGATCATACCAGTATCACGTGAATTACGTTCATACTGGTCAAATCTGCGGCTCATGATTTTTGACACAGGAAGTCGTTCATGGACATGAGAAGTAAGGATGTGGTTTTACCATAAAAGTTTCTACTTGCACTTCCTTTAACTGCCTCATAGCAAACAGAACAATACAGGAACAACAGTGTTGCAGGCTAGGTACACAGCTTGACTCCTGGTCAAATATGACTCAAATACAAGTGAAAGTTGTTCAGTCAGGTGGGTTTTTACTTGAGTTCAAGTACTGGAGTACTTGATTTTAAAAATAATGAAGTATTTAAAAGTAACACATTACTGTATTGTTCCACATTTACAGAACCTAATGACTCTGAAACAACCTACTGACCGACTGACTGTAGAACCTGTAGAATAAAAGGCTTGTAGAACATGATGCAAAGACTGTAGACGTGGACATAAAAATACAACTGAATCAACAAAAGGAGAACCAGCTACTACAAACTGCCTGTTTGAGAGTTTATCTAGAATTGAACAAAAGTTACCTCCACATACTTTCTCAGGTTGGACGGTGAATTTTTTTAGTCAGTGATGAAGTTTGGTCTCGGTAAACACAGCAAACATTTAAAACTAAATGATGTGAATCACATTTTCAAAATAAAATAAAATTCATTCACTGACTAAAAGCTCTGCTTCATAGTAAGAATGTAGTGGAGTCAAAAGTACAATATTTGTCTTTAGGTGTAGTGGATAATGTAATATAATGTAACATAATAGGTCCAAATGTCAGGTAGGGATGCTGTGTCCTCTACCAGGTTCATCATATTGTTTTAGCTGGAAACTCGGTGTATTATCATGCTCTTACAATGTCTTCCTGCATCTTAAAGTTTATAGTCAGTTTTGCTTTTCCAGTGTTTTACCAACTACAACAATCACAAAAAGTGGAAATTTTCTTTTAAAACTGAAAACCAGGCAGCAAAGTTGATGTTCAGTGATATAATATGGACAGATATTTGATCAAAAAAAATATCCATAGATGTTATTTTACGGATTTTGGATTCCTTGTTCCTTGTGCATGAAAGACATGAACAGAACTGAGAAGATGTATTTCATAAAAATCTAATTGTTAGTCTGTGGGTGTTTGTTATTGCCTGGTATAATTAGCTCAACTGTATTGTCTGTGCAGTTCTGTGGTTGAGAACAGGGTAAATCATTTAGGATTTAATTTCTAAATCTCTTCTAATGTGGCTCCATGACAGAAATCACTGTTATGTTTCTGTGCTCTCACCAGCCTCGCCTCCTTCCCCTGGGCCACGGTGCAGGCCTGGACCAGCTCTTCCTCCACCAGCGCAGGAGTGAGCTCCGTGTGGGCTGAGTTCAGACTGCCATAGAGTCTGTGGAGAAAGCTCACACACACTGCACACCAGTTCACTGTTAGTGGGACTGAACAGGCTGCTCATCATATCTGCTTATTTATGGCCTTAAAAACATATCACATCTGTCGGTGTGGAACATGACTGAGCTTGTGTTGTGCTGTGTGGATGTTACATACATACGTTTATATTATTCTGACTCAAACATTTTATTACATTTACACTTTTCCTGCGTTTTATTTAATAAGAAGATATATTTGTGGTTTTAAGAACCAAAAATCATCTCAATGTAGTTTTACGTCTCCTCTCTCAGGCTTCTCTCTGGAGCTCTAGTAGCAACAGGTCAGAGAGCCAATCAGAAGAGATCCTCTCTCTCCGATCCTCTCTTCTGATTAGCTGAGTGTTCCAATAAAAATATAGTAGATTTCAGGTAAACGCTCAGAGAAACCAAATCCTGCAAGGTTGGATGGTGGGTCCAGGTGGGCGGGGCTTGGGGCAAAACAGAGTGGTGACTGCTTTGTTGTGATATCACAAAGTTACAGAAGTCCTAATGGCAGGTTTGAACTGAATACAGGCTGTTGGCATTTCTCCTTGGACTGAGCACTTTGATACTTTCACAGTATTAATATAAAAGCATAAATACCTTTGTACAATATGGGTTTAATATAAGTAAAGATTTCTTGTTTTTAACTATGGAAGTTCTGGAGATTGTTTGGTGTTGTATAGTTATGCACTAGTTGGGTGACATAAGTAGTTAGAGCTTTTTTGGAAGTAGTGTGCACAACATGTGACCAAAGTGTCATCGGGATTTTTACAGTGAGGACAGCTATAAAAGAAATAAACTCATTCCCTTATTTACATTTTTGTTCATCTTCAGTACTGAAAAACTGCTTAAGCAATACCCATAATTTTAGATTAATTCCCACAATCTTCTAATTAGTCTGTAGCTATATTCTGACTCAAAACACTGTAAAACTATTTAGAAAATAGTTTGGTCAGCACATGCATGGCAGATGGTGCGGTCACAGGCATGCAGGGCTGATTTAGACATTTCAAGTAAGTTTCAGTACTTGAAAACAGCTCCGTGTAATACTGTGAAACCACAGCCAGACTGTAAATAACTTCTTTTCACGCCATGCTGTCGCTAACCTTCACAGTTGTCAGCTGCAGAAAAAGTGAAGCCTCTGAAAAACAGGAGAATAGCAAGAGACAACACCGACATGGTAGCGGTGGTCGTTATTATTAGCTGCGGGAGTCCCAGCCAACAGTTTACTCCTGAGGCACACAGAGAGACCACGGCCGAGGAGGGAGGAGCTATTTCAGGCGCTACTGGCTGTTTAAGTAAAAGTCCCTTGAGTCTTTTCCTTGGAAAATGTTATGAGACTCATTGTTGGAAAACGTTAACCTCTCTCGGTTCAATCCTCCACGCCATGTTTTGATATCAACTGCAACAAGAAGTTTTGAATTTCCTACGTTCTCATTCGCGGCTCTGACTTCCTCTCCATTGAAGTGGCGCAAAGCCTCCTGGGTATTGTAGTACTGTAGCACTAAACTTGATCTACTGGCAAAATCTGTACAATGAACACGCAGAAACGCCTCTTTCTTCTTAGTTAATGTATTCTAATATTCCAGTTTAAGTATAAGCTATCAGTTTGTTTGTCTTTGTTGTTGTTTTATATTGTGTCATTGACATATGCCATAAATATGCCACAAATATAGGCCTGAGCTAAGAGTCGATTGTTTTAGATGTTGGATCAACAACATAACATTCTGTGGAAACGTTACATTTTTTTGCTTAATTTGGTGGGTTTTGATCTCATTTTTCAGCTTTCACTGAGGGACATAGACTTTTCTGTTATATGTGGTCGATGGTGACTTTCATCAGTCCAAGAGGCTGAATACATTCAGCTTATATTAGTTCTCATAGACTGATTCAGTATGTTCACAAACAATATGAACATATCTAATTCTTAAAACGACAGACAAATGTGAAACCCTGACCTATTTATTTTTATAAACAGATTCTTCTTTTATCGACAGATAAATAATAAAACTGTTACCTTGTGTTTCCTTTCTGTCCATGTATTTTAACTACTGATTAGATGAAACACAGGTGCTTCCGGTTGTGAAGTCAACTGGTTTGAGAGACGGAATGGAAGTGTTTCTATACAGGATGGAGAAATAAAGCGTTTCAATACATTTATCTAAATATGTGTTAGAGTTTCCAGACCAAAATGGACCACAGCTGAAGTAGTCTGTGAAGAACCCCTCTTGGGTATAAGTATTTTTCTGTACATTACACTTTTTATGAAGTTAATCTATAAATAAAAACTATTCATGGTATTATTTGTGAAAGCGTGCTAAGTTTAGCCGCTAGTGCCTAAAACGTTTTGGTTACTAAAAGTTACCAGGTAATTATTTCATTTCTGAGTTCCCTTGGTAGAAGTTGAAGCTTTTGTTCTGAAAAATCTTTCCCGGAAGTTGTTTCTGGAAGCGGAACCCGGCTCGCATGCGCGTGGTCCAGCCCTTCGATGTGAGAGTTTTCAGCATGGCTGCTATAGGAGTTCACTTCGGATATACCTGCGCTTGTGTGTCGATATTTAAGGTGAGTTAATCTCCAACGACCGTGTCACACACCGAACTACTTCTTTTCATAGATAATAAAGTGACGGGTTTGACCTCAGCTCCTGAACCTCACTGAAACAGCGGCGGATGTAGCTGCTAATAAACTACGATGAATGAAGTAATGTCATGAGAGATGGCTCCATAACGTTAGTCTAAATACAACATGAATCCCCTCTTGCCAACTGTCTAACAATGTTCTTATACAATTTACTTTTTATTTAGTCCTTCCTAGTACACCTGCGTAGCGCATTCTTACTTAAATTAGCAAAAAGTAGAACCAACTGCTGAGATTTCCTATAAATGGCTCCTTGTACTATTTAGTGCATTTTGCTGTAGTATTTTTATGTAATAGTTGTATTTTGGGTGAGCATTTACACCATAGTCAAGTAGTCAAACACAGTTTTGATCTAGATTCACAAATGGTTCTCTCTGATCATTGATGTCACCTTGGGGTCTGGGACATTTTGTGTTAATTATTCATGTTAATTTTTAGGAATTAAATGATTAATCGATAGATCAGCCAGGTAATGAAATAGTGATTTGTTGCAGCTCTACAATGTATACATGTGTTCATTGTGTAAACTGTGTGTTTCATGATTCAAGTTGGATTTACCTGAAACACCTCCAAAGGGAGGCCTCCAGGATCCTGAAGTTCCTGGGCTGATTCCTTTCAAGGCAAAGGAGCAGGGTGACCCACGCCACCCTGCAAAGGAAATGCATTTCAACAGCCAGTGTATAGAATCTCATCCCTCTAGTCATTACTCAAAGCTCATGACTGTAGATGAGGGTGAGAAAGTAGGTCGACTGGTCATTAGAGAACGTCCTCGTTAGGCTCAGCTCTCTTCACCTTGACTGTCCTGTACAGCGTCCACATTACTGCTGACCTCATGACCTCATGCTCCATCTTCCCTGAGTCAGGATCCACTAATGCAAGAAGCTGGGACATGGGGATGTTTGGATTCATTTTCTGTGTGTGTGTGTGTGTGTGTGTGTCTTGTTTAGGACGGACGGGCTGATGTGGTGGCTAATGATGCAGGAGACAGAGTGACTCCAGCTGTGGTGGCCTACAGAGACACTGAGCAGGTCTGTGCTTCGCTTCTCTTCACACAGGTTTTCCTCAAGGACTGAGAGGTTTAGCATATGAGCTAGGATCAGTCTGTTTCATAGACCCGGTTTGGAGCTCATGTTAGCAGACCAAGGTCACGAAGTAACACAGTAGTAGTAGTAGGTATTATTAAACATATTATATAGAGGGTTAAATATTACAGCAAAAATAAAAAAAATCACTGCAACAAACAAAGCAAAGTTTTCCACTGACATTGCTAATTTTTATGCTATGCTAATTGCTATGGCAATCAATGAAAATGCAAATTCCCTTTTAAGATAGAAGCTTTGCACGTATGAAACACTAAGTCATAATTACCATGCTCATCTTTAGCAATGCACCAATTCTTTTGTATAAGTATCTTTATTATCGTTTTTCCTCTGGACCCGTTTTCATCCTTGAACTACTACAACAACATACTCACATAGAAACTTCATTCAAATGTTCAGCTTCATAATGAAGGTTGTGTGTATTTTTAAAATGTTTTGATTATGATTAATTTTTGAATTATTCAAAAAATTTTCAGCAATTTGCCCATAAATGTTTTGCCATTTCAGCTCCTCTTGAACCTTCATACTCATCCACACTTTCACCTGTAAATTCCATGGTTCATTATTCAACTATTGACAGTTCTCTGATGTGTGAAGCCTCTCTGCCTGACTCACATTTTGGGATTTGACTTAAAGCTGTGCATCTGCCATTCTGCTGCTTACTGACTGATCTCTATCCCCTGCAGATCGTAGGCATTGCGGCAAAGCAAGGACGAGTCCGCAACGCTGCCAACACAGTTGTTAAAGTGAAACAAGTGCTGGGGAGAAGGTGACTCACTTAATACTGTCTCAAATCTCAAAGCTACTGGAGATGCAGTTTCATATTAGCTTGGTTCACTTGTGGAATGTTAAAGCCAAAGTAGATGATTGCACTCAGGCTCTGGGTGCAATCAACTAGGATGTTGGATCCAGGTGGGCGGGGCTTGGGGCCTCTACCTTTATACTATATGGGACCTTTAAATTTGTTCAGTAATGTCAGCAGTGGTGTCTCATATGATGCTGTTTTACAGAACAATTAGCAGCCTGACTCTTGACTTGAAGGCTTGAGGAGCATTTATGATATGAAGGACCTGTAATCAATGCAGTGAGTTAATGGATGTTTATTTTCTTTCTCTCGTTGGGCAGCTTTGATGATCCAGAGACACAAATTCACAGAAAAGAGACCAAGTGTCAGGTGAGCTTGTTTAACAGATCCACTGTGTGTGTTGTCTTTGTCGGTCTTTTGAAATTTTTTCTTCACCCCAAAATGTTTTTTTTCCTTCATTAACATTAATTTTCCTCCTTCAGTTAAAACCACGACGTCTTGTTAGTTTTGTGTCTTAGTTTTATTTTGAAAATACTTGTTGAACCCACAATAATTGACTGTACTGGCGCAGCAGTGAGTCCTCGGTCTGAGCAGTGAGTGTTGTGTTCAGGTGGTGAACAAAGCAGAGAAGCCTTATTACGAGATCACAGCAGGAGATCACCCCGAGTATGTCGCTCCAGAGGATGTCGCAAAACTCATCTTCCACAAAATGAAAGGTAACACACACACACACACACACACACACACACACACACACACACACACTCGCGTGAGCTTCATAAACAAACTCATAAGTTGATTGACCATCTCCATTTTGACAGAAACGGCTCAGTCAGCTCTGGGCTCTGATGTAACTGAAGCGGTCATCACCGTCCCTTTTGAGTTCGCACATGCTCAGAAGCGAGCTCTGAGGTAGGCCACATTACTATCCACTCACCTGTACTGCTCTCCATTTGCACCTTCTGATAAAATCTAACTGTGTGTGTGTGTGTGTGTGTGTGTGTGTTGTGCAGGGAGGCAGCCGAAGCTGCAGGGTTCCACGTCCTGAGGCTGATCCATGAGCCCGCTGCTGCTCTGCTGGCCTACAACATCGGACAGGACTGTCACTCCGGAAAGAGGTAGCACTGAGGAGAGAGAGTTTAGTGATTTACTGACGTTCACACTCACCAATCACTTACCATTAGGGACACCTACACACCTGCTTATTCATGCAGTTATCCAATCAGCCAATCATGTGCAGTGTATAAAATGATGCAGATACAGGCGATGAGCTTCAGTTCATGTTATCATGTCACATCGAACATCAGAATGAGGAAATAATCTCATCTCATGATTGTTGGTGCCTGACAGGCGGGTTTGAAGATTTTCACACACAACAGCTGAGTGACGACTGTTGCTAGGCAGCTCCTCTCTGACATTAAAAGGCAGCACCATAGAGAAAATCCACTGTTTTATATCGCACGTAGTTCTAAATGTTACTGTGGTACAACAATGTGATTTTTATACAACACATAGATAAATAGATGTTGCCCCATCACCACTTTGTCTGCAGCTTTTATCCCGTCCAGCATCATGTGATTGAGTGTGGGCTCTACACACACACACACACACACACACACACACACACACGTTTCTGC